ACCCGTAGTCCCAGCACCCCCAGGCCCAGCACCCTCAGGCTCAGCACTCCCAGCAGCACCACCTGCAGCAGCACCTGAGTCACCTGTGACCTCGACAGGCTCAGCGACGGGAGGAGGGTCTACCTGAGAGACACCTGAAGGAGCAGGACCCTGAGGGGGGAGGGGGTCTACCGGAGGGGGACCAGGAGCAAGGAAAAGCGGCGGGGGAGGGAGGGGGGCAGTACGGTAGGGGAAGAGACGGTAAAAAGGGACCGACTCGTCAAAGGTGACGTCCTGAGAGGCGAAGACCCGGCGCGAGGTGGGGTGGTAAAACTGCCAGCCCGGCGCGTCAGGGACAAAGCCAAGGAAGACACAGGGAAGCGTGCGGGAGGAGAGCTTGTCCGCGGACGTATCGCGGACAAGGGCACGAGCACCCCACACCCGGAAGCGCGATGCATCGCCAACCTCCCCCGTCCAACGCAGTGTGGGCGAGGTCTCCGGCAAGGAGACACGGGGCCAGAGGTTGAGCTGATGCGCGGCGTACCGGACAGCAAACGGCCACAGAAAATGGGGAGCCGCCGCGTGGACCAAGGAGGTACGAGCGACCTCCATGACCAGGCCAATGCGGCGCTCAGCAACCCCATTCTGCTGTGGGGAGTCCGGAAGCGTGAAGGTCTGCTCGATGCCCTCCGCCTGACAGAAGGTCCTCAAGAGGTCGGAGGAAAACTCACCACCTCTGTCAGAGTGCAGACGCAGGACAGGAAGATCCGTCCGGAAACGGCGGCGGAGCTGGAGACGAACTGTGCGGATCCAAGGGATCAGAACAGCAGGGACCTCACCCTTGGTGCGCAAGGGGAAGACCGTGGTGTAACGCGAGTAGTCGTCGACAACCAGCAAAAAGTACCGCTCACCGCCCTGACCACGAACGCGGGCTGGGCCCCACACGTCCAGGTGGAGGGTCTGCAGAGGAGCCTCTGTCGGGGGGAACGAGGAGGAGTGAGGAGCGGCGCGCTGCCGCCCCTCGACGCAAGGAAGGCAAGGCGGCGCAGGCGAGGCAGGGAGGGGAGGGAGGGACCTGGGAAGACCAGACACAAGGTGGCGACGGTGCATGCCACGGAGGCGTGGCAAGGAGGGGTGACCCAGGCGGTGGTGCCAGAGAAGAGTCTGGTGCGACAGGGAACGACACTCACAGGCGTGGGCTACCAGACCTGACGCGGACACCTGACCGACAGCAGCGACCTGGGGAGACGCAGTGGTCAGTGTGTAGAGACTCGACCCCGGCCGACGAGTAAACGTAGCCAGGTGACGGCCGGTCCTGGAGCACGTGCAGATCGCCACACGCTGTCCTCCAGGGGTGAAGGTGTCAACCCACTGATCCTGGAGGACAGCGTTGCTCACCAGGTTCGTCGAGAACGAGGGGAGGTGGAAACCTGTCAACGAGCCAGACGGAACCGCCGGACAAGGGAGCACAGTGGTGGACCGGGCAAGGACCGGGCCCCCAGAGGGATCAGCCAAGGAGACTGGGACCGGTGCAGAAAGCGGTGTGAGCTCAGTACTGTCTCGAAAGAAGCAGCGGGAGGCACCTGAGTCAAGGGTGAAGGTGTGACAGGGCTCAGTCGGTGCAGTACCTGAGAGAGCAGTCTCTGTGGGTGCTGTACCTGAGAGAGCAGACTCGCAAGCAGCAGGGACAGTGCAGGAGGGAGCAGGTACAGGGGGCACCATACCAGAGAGAGCAGACTCACTAGTACCTAGGGCAGCGGGCTCTATACCTGGGTCAGGCGGCACACACAAGTAACAGTCTCCCTCGGCACTAACAGTCAATGCATACATGGCAGCTATAATAGCATCATAGTCAAGAGCAAAGATATCAACCCCAGCCCTCATCAGCTCAGCCCAGCGAGGGCGCTCAACATCCTCGCCCATCTCCTCACGCCAAGCGTCGTCAAGGCGGAAGAAGCAGCGGTACGGGGTGTGAAACCTCCCACACGTCTGTCCCTTGCGATCACCTGTGCGAATGACATAGGAACAGCGGCTACTGCCCCCAGACGTCCCACGCTGAGCAAGCCACTCACGAAGCTGCTGGGTCGACTGGGGACGCTGCTGCTGCTGGGAGCTCTGGCCCGAGCCGGTGCCTCCACTCCGACCTCCACCGCCGCCACTACCTCCGCTCCGACCGCCACCACCGCCACCGCCACCGCCACTACCGCCACCGCCGCCACTGCCGCCGCTGCCACCACCGCCACTGCTCCCGCCGCCGCCCCCGCCTCCGCCGCCGGCCCCACTCCCACCGGCACTCCCGCCACCGCTCCCTCCAGCACCGCCTCCCCCCCCACCTCCCCCACCCCCTCCCCCCCCAGCGCCACCCCCGCCACCCTTGCCCCCCTTGCCCTTGCCAGTGCGGCGCCTCCCACCAGGAGCAGAAGCAGCGCCAGCAGACTCAGCACCAAGGAAGTCAACAGCAGCAGCAGTAGCGTAGGAGGGAGCGAGGGGAGAGGGAGAACACCCCTCAAAGATGGGGGTGCGAGGAGCGCCGCGAGCAGCACCTACAGCTACAATGCTCTTCTCGGCTGCTAGCAGCTTCTCCTCTAGGAGGGCGACAGTGAGCTCAGTGGGACAGCGAGCAAGGAAATAGTCGCGCACTGAGCTGAGGGTGTCAGGGAGACGGGTGACTATGAAGTGGAGTGTCCAGTACAGTGGAGGGGGGTTCTTAGCGCAGAACTCGGTGGGAAGGGCGGCACGCAGGCGAGCGTCACTAGTGCGAAGGTGGGTGATAAGATCGGCGACTGTAGCAAAGGTGGACAGCTCAGGGAACAGGTAAGGCAGCATGAGGCGGCTAAGCTCGGCTGTGGCAGGTGAGGAGTAGCGAGCAACGACAGCGTCGTAAAGGGCCTTAGCGGTTTTGCAGTCGCCAAAATGCTCGAGCTCAGCTAACGGCAGGTGACTGCGAATGGCTAGGCGAGCAGCAGCGTCACGCGTCTGCCACTGAGAACGTACACTAAGCTCGGCTGTGGCAGCAGGAGCAGCGGCAGCACCAGACGCGTAGTCATAGAGGGAGATGTGGTCCGTGCTATTGCTCATAAGATACAACTGCAGGTCGTCGAGCCAGGAAGTGAACTGCACGGGACGGCCCTCAGCATCGAAGGAAAGAACGCGAATAGAGGCCATAGCTCAGGCGTGAGGGCACAGCAGAGCAGCGGCAGCAGCAGAGGGGACGCAGCAAGCGGGCAGTGAGGCAGCGGGCGGCGCTGCGAAGCAGGTAGCGGGCGGGCGGGCGGCGCTGCGAGCGGGCAGCGAAGCGGGCGGGCCGCGAAGTGGGCAGCGAGCGGGCGGGCGGGCTGCGAAGCGGGCAGCGGGCGAGCGGGCTGCGAAGCGGGCGGGCCGCGAAGCGGGCAGCGAGCGGGCGGGCGGGCTGCGAAGTGGGCGGGCCGCGAAGCGGGCAGCGGGGCGAGCGGGCTGCGAGGCGGGCGGGCCGCGAAGCGGGCAGCGAGCGGGCGGGCGGGCTGCGAAGCGGGCGGGCCGCGAAGCGGGCAGCGAGCGAGCGGGCTGCGAAGCGGGCGGGCCGCGAAGCGGGCAGCGAGCGGGCGGGCGGGCCGCGAAGCGGGCAGCGAGCGGGCGAGCGGGCTGCGAAGCGGGCGGGCCGCGGAGCGGGCAGCGAGCGAGCGGGCTGCGAAGCGGGCGGGCCGCGAAGCGGGCAGCGAGCGGGCGGGCGGGCTGCGTGGCGGGCGGGCCGCGAAGCGGGCAGCGAGCGGGCGGGCGGGCTGCGTGGCGGGCGGGCCGCGAAGCGGGCAGCGAGCGGGCGGGCGGGCTGCACTGCGAGGGGCGCGCGAGGGCGCTAGTGAGGGGCGCGCGAGGGCGCTAGCAAGGGGCGCGCGAGGGCGCTAACGAGGGGCGCGCGAGGGCGCTAACGAGGGTGCGCGCGAGGGCGCTAACGAGAGGCGCGCGAGGGCGCTAACGAGGGCGCACGAGGGCGCTACGAGGCTAGGGCACGGGGTAGCGTGGTAACCGCATGCGAGCGGTGGTGGGCCCTTAAAAAAAAACGGTCGGTAGGTCCTAGGGACCTCCTGCTCTGAATACCATTTCAGAATAGCTAGGCAAGAATGAATGAACTAGCAGAAGTTTGGGTACAAATATGAAACCCTAGTTGGGGTTGTACCCCATATTGGCTACCCCACTACAGCCTACAAGCATAATACAGTTTAACAGGTATATCCGGGGGGTGACGGTATATATGATTACAGATATATCAGAAACTTAACCGCTTTGTGTCCAACTGTAACAGTATCTACTATCACGGTTTGATTCAGCGACGGCTCAGGTAACTGCTCAATAACGAGTCAATTATTTGTCCTTGCTGTCATGCTGTTACGTCGAGTCAAAGGTCGCTGACCTTTGACCTTCGCTTCAACTGCTTACTGTTGTCGCTCTTGTCAACCGCTTTGCTGTAGCTCGGTTGACTCGGTGGTGCTTCGCCATGGATCTGCTTCGTTCTTGTTATAGTGCTCGATATACTGTATTCTCCCGGACATAACACCGTAGGGTATAGCTAAAAATACAAGAAAAAGGGTTTAGGGTTTACAAAAAAAGGGGTGGAAACCAGCTGCAGCACATAACAAATAGCACACTTCAAGACAAGATGGATCATGCCACCGGCGGCCTGAGCATCTTATCATTGGACGAGTCGACAGCAGACTGCGGTAACCACTGCCACATTGCCATAGGCGCCATCCCTGGCATGCCATATGGCATCATGGCAGGCAGAGGTGCCATGTACTGTGGACCTGCCGCAGCAGCAGCAACAGTCCCACCAGTCCCAACAGTGCCAGAAGTAGCAGCAGGAGCAGCAGCAGCAGGATGGGTTGGAGCTGAGTATGCTATGTGACCAGGACCAGGCTGGTTCCCTCCAAGGGGATAGTTTTGCACAGGTTGAGAGTGAGGGTGGGGGTGAGGGTGATGATGAGAGTGAACCATCCCACCAGGCATGAACGGTATGGGGATCAAGCCCAAGGGTGCACCAACTGCTGCTAGCTTGCCTGGCTCGCACGCTGGGTGCAGCATCAACGGGACAGCACCGGCAGCACCAGAACCAGGAGGGGGAGCAGCGGCTGCTGATGGGGCTGCTGCTGACGTGGCGGCGGTGGATTGGGCAGCACCGGACGCAGCCATGCGCCTGACCTGCTCCTCCAGTTGCTGCTTGTTGGCCTGCAGGCGAGCCTTCTCCTCCCTCAGCTCGCTCTTCTCCGCCTGCACACAAAGAACGTGTTTGGCACAGAGCAAAATGTATGAAACTCTATGAAAAAACTTAATGCCTCACGCTCTAACCTTTACGCCATTCCTTCCCCTCCAACGCCTCCGCCTCCATTCCTCCTACCCCTTTCAACTTTTCCCATCCGCCCTTCCCCCACAACTCCCCCTTTCCCCGCATTCCCCCCCAACGCACCTTGAGATCGCGGATCTGCTCCTTCATCTGCTCCGCGGAGCCCCGCAGCTGCGCCGTCTCCGCGCGCAGCTGCGCCAGCACGCGCACCGCGTCCGCCAGAATGCTCCCCCTGTCCGCGCGCGCCTGCCCGCTCCCCTCCAGAGACCGCGCCAACTCCACGAACCTGCGGAAGGGTTGCGGGAGGGGGTGGGCAACAGGCGCGTCGGGGGGAAGGGTGGCGGGAAGGGCGGTAACAGGCGCGGTAGGGAGAAGGGTGGCGGAAGGGGGTAGGTCCCATGCGCATTGGGGAGAAGGGTGGCGGGAGGGGGTCGCAGGCACGTTGAGTGGTAGCGCAGGCGGGGAGTGCGAAGAACGGGAAAGGGGGTGATGGAGTATCGACGGTTGATTCCGCGCAGAGCACGGGTGACGCAGGATAAGCACCGCCACCCACCTGCCGTCGACGGGGAACGCGGATGGGAGTGACGCGGCGGGGTGACGGAGGTCGCCCGCCTGTCAAAAAACACTCATTGACGCACCAAGCACAAGCACCAGCCATCAAGCACCAGCCATCAAGCACCAGCCATCAAGCACCAAGCACCAAGCACTGAGCACCAAGCGCCAAGCACGCACCTGTCGTTGAGTCGGTCGCGGCGCATCTTCTCCCGATTGGCCTTGCTGCTGCTCGCCTCGACTGGATCCTCCCTCGGCCTGGCGACACCCGCGCGGCAAACAAGAGCATTGGGGAATGAGTCGGGAGACGGGGAATGCGGCAGGAGACGGGGAATGGGTTACGAGATGGAAACGCGAGATGCGGAAAGAACGCTTAGGAAAAGAACGAAAAACCAGTTGCGTTGGTCCGGCAGACACGCATGGAAAAAGGGCGATCGGCCAGTAACGAGGATAAGGGAAGATAGGAACGGGATAGTTTCAGGACCAGTAAGGGAGAATTCAAGCGGAAAGACCCCAAGGATAGGGGAAACAAGAAAGTCAAGCTAGTGACTTGCTGTTTGTGGGAAGCAGCGACGCTGGTGCGGTTTCCGGCGTCCTGCGACGGCTCATTGCAATGCGACGGCTCTTTATCCGCGGCACAGCTCTCATTGGCACGACTCGACGTCCTGCACAGGAGGAAACGGGAGAAGAGGAGCTGACAAGAGATATGGGGACTGGTTGAGCGACCGACGGCACCGCGAGGAGACAGGAAACGGCACGGCAAAGACGCGGCGAGGACGTGATATGCCGTCAAAATGTCGCCCGTTACACCTCTGCAGTGTGAATTGAAGCGCAATAACACTCACCTGTCAAGCTCCTGACATGTGGATTGCTGTTCGGCCAGCATATTCTCTAGTACGGTCCGACCATCACCGTCAACGTCAATGTCGACGGAATCCGTCAAGTACCTCATCCACTGGCCGGTAGGACACGACCCTGACGGCGCCGCCATGAGGGTGGGATGAAGTGAAACGGGTTTCTGGCGGAAAGGGCTTTTGGCGAGAAGGGCGTTTGACGGGAAGGGCTTTTGATGGAAACGGCTTATGAGGAGACTTATGAGAGAGACGGGTGCTGGTGGAAGGATTAAAGGCGGGATAGACGGCGAGGAGGCTCTACGACGGAGGCATCGAAAAGCGTTTGGCTGACAGGTGGGTCGTAAGATGCACGAGGCGTGAAGTGGTCTACTGGGTGACTGGATGAGGAACAACGGCGGATGGCGGACACAGTTGGTGATGAAAACCAGACGGGAACGGAAGATCAGCGGTATGGCAGAGAAGATCGTCACTGTGGGAATAGCGAACGCAGGTGCGGACGGGCTTGACGGCAGATAGGTGTCAGAAGCAGTGCGTTTCAGGACTAAGATTAATCGGCATGGACATGATGACGAGTAGTGGCAGCGAACTAGAGTCGGGAAGACGAGCAGCAGCGAGCAAAGCGGGGAAGGGAATTCGGCTCTGTCTCCCTTGCACGTGCGCGCGCTCGGCTTCCTGGTCTAATCGCAGGTATCAGATACACCTTCCCACCTTACACGTTAGCTAGTGACCAAATAGTGCAGCGAAAAAGGTAACGAACGATATTTACAAGTGAGCAGCAAAACCTTTGGGCCATTTTCAACGGAATTCAACTTATGCCAGTACGATTACTCAGATGCATACAACAGACGGCTGTAGGGGGAAGTGACAGACGGACTGTTATCTGCCCGCGAGAAGACGAGAAAAAAATAAACCCCATCTGGATGGCATGCGACTTGGGGAGCCTCAACCTAAACACGGGTGACCGCGTGGTTTTGCCGGTAGGTCGACATTTTTGCCTGCACCGTCTATTGTATGCGTTTGCAAAATTGCACTAGCAAAATCTGCATGCATTAGGTAAAAGCCGAAAACCTTTTGCTCGACGACCCTACGAGATCGTCAGAGGCACGAGGCAGGATACACGCAGCAGGAGAGCACGCCACGTCACCCACCTTGCTGGTCTACTGAACAGCGGTCAACCGAAAAAACAGCGGCCAACATCATTGATACTCAAAGTATGCCCTGAGAATTTTGCAAACGTACTCAGCCGAATATTTCGCAGTATAGTAACTACATGTACTGTATCTTTAGTTTTAAGCAATCAGGAGACAAAGTGGCCACCAGCACCTCACCCACATATACCCAACAGAACAGAATAAATACTAGAACGATTGGATAGCAATCTGGGAATATTAACCCATAACCCTTAATTTGGGAATATTAACCAATCGGCCAACATCATATATACTAAAATTATGCCCCAAGCGTTTTGCATTCTTAATCAAACGACAATTTCACAATATGATACGTGAGTTATTTTTTTTGTTATAATCTTAAATATGAAAAAAGACGCCATTAATACCTCGCCCCAATATAAATATGCAAAACCTTAGGTAAGCTGAACGCACTCCAGGAAAATCAACCCTACACATGGGAAGCCATACAGTGTTTAGGGTTGATGCTTTCCTCTTTTGCCCATGTTTCTCTAATTTGTTTTAATTTATTTGTGGTTCTTCACGGAAGTCTTGCCGCAACGCAAGGGCGCTTAAATAAAAATTTAGGGTAACCCATGTCAGGGCGCTTCCGCGTGTAAAGGGTTACGCATTCTCCTCGACACCTCGACACAATCGTTTGTATTTCCGTTCAGAATTCGCGTTCTGTTTCTGTCACATTTTGAACGTATGATTAGGCTGGATAGTGTGAATGAAAAGCGAGAACCAATCGGCGTTGAGAATTGAGGGTTGAGTACGGATGCAAAATTCTCCGGGCATAATTTGAGTATTTATGATGTTGGCCGGAAAAAACAGCAAGATGCAAAACGCCACGCCACGCTACAGGCCGCGTGGAGGCGCCTAGAGGCTGCCCATCCGCCGCTAGGGCTGCGCTGCTGCTGGTGGTGAGGTGAGACCGTGAGAGCCTGAGAGGGTGGAGCGACTCGTCATGATGTAACTGGCCACGGGCAAGGTTGGGGGTGGAGGGGAGAACTCCCCTTCCCTCCCCTCTCTACCTCCTTTCCCCTTGTCCTCCCCGCCTTATCTCCACCACACCTACCCTATCATCAACAGACGGGCGGGGGCCTTGATAGGGTCAGCAAATGTCCCCAAACCGCTGTGTATCGCTTTGAAACATTCTGTCTTCTTAATGCATCAGCGTGGAATGCTGCGTCAGGTCCCTCGATGTTGTCGCCTGCTCCATTTCCCAAGATGACTCTTGAGTGGCCCCAAAAGTCCCCCTACAAACTAAATCCCGAGCGCCCTCCGCCTTTTCAAGCTTCCCTCCCCCCGCCGCCATCGCAGGAAGTTCCGCCCAGCCCAGCCAGGCTAGTGGCCAAACAAGCAAGCTTTCGCGCGCTACCCACCCACCCAGGTTCCCCCCCCGTTAGATTCAGCTGCGCTACAGTTCCTGATAGGATTTGGACCGTATGGCCGTTTCGAGGCAATCGGGTTATGCCGCGCTGGCAGCCAGCAGTGCGTGACAGGAGTTCCTGAGAGGTCCACCTGTGATCTGACAGAATCCAGGCCTTTCGATGTACCCTGAACCCTGATAACTGCAGAGTTCTCTTCAAGGCACATCATAGGTACATTAACTCTTATATTTACAACACCACACGCATGTGGAAGCATATGCTGCCTGCTACATGACTAAATACACGCGATTTAGAAAAGATAAGAATGTGTATTCATAGGAAAGCACGAAGCTTTGACCTATCCGACATCATTTATCGTGCTATCCGCAATGACCGACCATCATCGGCTGTGCAGGGCTGCAAAGCGGCGTTGCAGGTCATCCTCCTCTTCCTCCTGCCACCCTGCTTGTGTGCTGTTGGCAAGGTGTCAAAGGAGGTGCACAAGATAGGGAACCGATAAATTTGACTTTAAGTCGTCTCAAAGCTCGATTGCAAGACAAGGAGAGAGAGGAGGGAAGGGGGGGAGGGAATTGCAAGTCAGTAAGATAGGCTGAGTCCCAAATTATTATCACATTCCCCTCACAAAAGGTTTACACCCACATGCAACGACGTGGCAACGCAGCCACATGCCATGCAACCACATGTATTTACACACATGCCATGCAGCCTATCATCCCTCCCAACCACATGCCATGCAGCCCCATCATCCCTTCTTAGCACATCATTCAGACATATCCTTCATACCACATGACATGCAGCCATATCCTTCCTACCACATGCCATGCAGCCACATACCACGACGAGGTCCCATCTCACCGAGACATGCCTCCTTGTGCTATTGTTGCTGCTGCACGCAGTCTTCTGGGCGGCACACTGGAGGCGAGCTGCCAGATATGATTCTCACGATGTTGCCCGTGCCACGTGCCATGCAGCGCCTTCCCTCCTTAGCTAAAGAAACAACTTCCCATCTCACCAAGACGTGACTCCTTGTGCTATTGTTGCCGCTGCTGTGGTCAGTCTTCTGGGCGGCACACTCGAGAGCTGGCAGAGACTTTTGTCAGATTCCCAACTATGCAGCCCTGTCATTCCTTCCAATAAGAAACAGATTCCCAACTCACCGAGACGCCTCTCCCTGTGCTGCTGCTGCTGTGGGCAGTCTTCTGGCCGGCACACTCGAGAGCTGCCAACATGGGTTTCAGATGGGGAAGGCGGCAGGGGCGGGGGAGGAGGGGAGAGGGGGGAGGAGGGGAGAGGGGGGATGAGAAGCGTGGCTGACACAAAGGGAATAGGTCTGACGCGTGCGCGTGAATTCATGTGCTGCATGTGATGCATGAGATTCATGTGATGCATGACATTCATGTGATGCATGACATTCATGTGATGCATGACATTCATGTGATGCATGACATTCATGTGATGCATGACATTCATGTGATGCTTGACATTCATGTGATGCTTGACATTCATGTGATGCTTGTAATTCTTCTGACGCATGTCATCCATGCAATGCCATGTGAAGCACAAGATGCATGCAAATGACGAAGTAACGTGCGTCAAACCAATCAGGGGGAGAGAGAGCACCTGGGCCGACATGTCGATGCCAATCTCATCCAGGATCTGCGGCACGCGACCATGTGGAGAGGATCAGAGGACAGAGGAAACGCAGATGAAGGAGAGGAATAGGAGGGATGGGAGGGAGTAGATATTCAGTCCACGGATGGGTGTTTGAAAAAGGAGGACACGGTAAGGGAAATAAGCCGAAATGAGGAGTCTGCAACTAAAGGCCTGGGGAATAACTTAGCCCTAGATCCTGGTCCGTCATTACAGCCAAACATGCAACGAAATCAAGCGGAAGAGCAGGCGATCAAGGGACAGCCTGTGATTGTGAGGGGGGGGAAGCAGAGTGAGCGATGTTTATAAACACATGCTAGCTCCTCCACGCGTCAGCCGTATAGGCTGATTACCGTATGGGGCTCGTATAGGCTGATTACCGTATGGGGCTCGCATAGGCTGATTACCGTATGGGGGTCGCATAGGCTGATTACCGTATGGGGCTCGTATAGGCTGATTACCGTATGGGGCTCGTATAGGCTGATTACCGTATGGGGCTCGCATAGGCTGATTACCGTATGGGGGTCGCATAGGCTGATTACCGTATGGGGCTCGTATAGGCTGATTACCGTATGGGGCTCGTATAGGCTGATTACCGTATGGGGTTCGTATAGGCTGATTACCGTATGGGGCTCGTATAGGCTGATTACCGTATGGGGCTCGTATAGGCTGATTACCGTATGGGGCTCGTATAGGCTGATTACCGTATGGGGCTCGCATAGGCTGATTACCGTATGGGGGTCGCATAGGCTGATTACCGTATGGGGCTCGTATAGGCTGATTACCGTATGGGGCTCGTATAGGCTGATTACCGTATGGGGCTCGTATAGGCTGATTACCGTATGGGGCTCGTATAGGCTGATTACCGTATGGGGCTCGTATAGGCTGATTACCGTATGGGGCTCGTATAGGCTGATTACCGTATGGGGCTCGTATAGGCTGATTACCGTATGGGGCTCGCATAGGCTGATTACCGTATGGGGCTCGCATAGGCTGATTACCGTATGGGGCTCGCATAGGCTGATTACCGTATGGGGCTCGCGTAGGCTGATTACCGTATGGGGCTCGCATAGGCTGATTACTGTATGGGGCTCGCATAGGCTGATTACCGTATGGGGCTCGCATAGGCTGATTACCGTATGGGGCTCGCATAGGCTGATTACCGTATGGGGCTCGCATAGGCTGATTACCGTATGGGGCTCGCATAGGCTGATTACCGTATGGGGCTCGCATAGGCTGATAACGTATGGGGCTCGCATAGGCTGATTACCGTATGGGGCTCGCATAGGCTGATTACCGTATGGGGCTCGCATAGGCTGATAACGTATGGGGCTCGCATAGGCTGATTACCGTATGGGGCTCGCATAGGCTGATTACCGTATGGGGCTCGCATAGGCTGATAACGTATGGGGCTCGCATAGGCTGATTACCGTATGGGGCTCGCATAGGCTGATTACCGTATGGGGCTCGCATAGGCTGATTACCGTATGGGGCTCGCATAGGCTGATTACCGTATGGGGCTCGCATAGGCTGATTACCGTATGGGGCTCGCATAGGCTGATTACCGTATGGGGCTCGCATAGGCTGATAACGTATGGGGCTCGCATAGGCTGATTACCGTATGGGGCTCACATAGGCTTGCAACGTGACTCGCACCTCCACTTATCCCGATTACCATGATTCAGCTGCATCGATATGGTTGCATGCTGACATCAGCGCACCTGGTTGGTGATGTCATCGGCCTCCTCCTCGGTGTCGCTTGTATCCAAAGCATCGTCCAGAGCGCCTCCCACCATGTCTTGCTGCCATGTGGCATGTGCCATGTGGACAGGAGGAGAGGAGAGGATGATAAATGTCTTGCTGCCATGTGCCATGTGGACAGGAGGAGAGGAGAGGATGATAAATGTCTTGCTGCCTTGAGCCGTGTGCTAAATGAAAAGGGCAAGGGCAGATACTATCAGCCTCCTCCTCCTCCTCAGTGTCCCTGGTACCCAAAGCATCGTCCAGTGCGCCGCCCACCATGTCTTGCTGCCATGTGAGATGTGTCATGTGTCATGTGCCATGTGTCATGAGGAGAGGAGGAGAGGAGAGGGGGACAGATGAGAAGGGCTAGGGCAGGGTTATCAGCCTCCTCCTCCTGGGTGTCGCTGGTGTCCAAAGCATCGTCCAGAGCGCCAGCTCCTCTCACCATGTCTTGCTGCCATGTGTCATGTGGACAGGAGGAGAGGAGATGAGGATAAATGTCTTGCCATGTGCCATGTGCTATGTGCAATGTGCCATGAACCATGTGCAATGTACCATGTGCCATGTGCCGTGTGCCATGTGCCATGTGCAATGTACCATGTGCCATGTGCCATGTGCCATGTGTTGTGTGCCATGTGCCGTGTGCCATGTGCCATGTGCAATGTGTCATGTGCCATGAGCCATGTGCAGTGTGCCATGTGCCATGTGCCATGTGCCATGTGCCATGTGTCGTGTGCCATGTGCAATGTGTCATGTGCCATGTGCCATGTGCCATGTGCCATGTGCCATGTGCCATGTGCCATGTGCCATGTGCCATGTGCCGTGTGCCATGTGTCGTGTGCCATGTGTCGTGTGCCATGTGTTGTGTGCCATGTGTCGTGTGCCATGTGCCATGTGTTGTGTGCCATGTGCCGTGTGTCATGTGGCATGTGGCAAGAGGGAAGGAGGAGAAGAGAGGAGGGTAATAGAGCAGGACAAGGCCAGACAGATGAGCCTCCTCCTCTGTGTGCCTCGTATCGAATGCATCGTCCACAGCACCTCCCACCATGTCTTGCTGCCATGTGCCATGTGCCATGTGCCATGTGCCATGTGCCATGTGCCATGCGACATGTTCATGGGCCATGTATGATGTGCCATACACGGAGAGGACAGGAGGACAATAAAAAAGAGTAAGGACAAGGAGAAAATACCTTGCCCAAGCCTAGTACCTAGTCCAGACCAACCTACTCTGACCCACTTATGCACTCTCTACTTGCATGCTTCTCTACTTGCATGCTTCTCTACTTGCATGCTTCTCTACTTGCATGCTTCTCTACTTGCATGCTTCTCTACTTGCATGCTTCTCTACTTGCATGCTTCTCTACTTGCATGCTTCTCTACTTGCATGCTTCTCTACTTGCATGCTTCTCTACTTGCATGCTTCTCTACTTGCATGCTTCTCTACTTGCATGCTTCTCTACTTGCATGCTTCTCTACTTGCATGCTTCTCTACTTGCATGCTTCTCTACTTGCATGCTTCTCTACTTGCATGCTTCTCTACTTGCATGCTTCTCTACTTGCATGCTTCTCTACTTGCATGCTTCTCTACTTGCATGCTTCTCTACTTGCATGCTTCTCTACTTGCATGCTTCTCTACTTGCATGCTTCTCTACTTGCATGCTTCTCTACTTGCATGCTTCTCTACTTGCATGCTTCTCTACTTGCATGCTTCTCTACTTGCATGCTTCTCTACTTGCATGCTTCTCTACTTGCATGCTTCTCTACTTGCATGCTTCTCTACTTGCATGCTTCTCTACTTGCATGCTTCTCTACTTGCATGCTTCTCTACTTGCATGCTTCTCTACTTGCATGCTTCTCTACTTGCATGCTTCTCTACTTGCATGCTTCTCTACTTGCATGCTTCTCTACTTGCATGCTTCTCTACTTGCATGCTTCTCTACTTGCATGCTTCTCTACTTGCATGCTTCTCTACTTGCATGCTTCTCTACTTGCATGCTTCTCTACTTGCATGCTTCTCTACTTGCATGCTTCTCTACTTGCATGCTTCTCTACTTGCATGCTTCTCTACTTGCATGCTTCTCTACTTGCATGCTTCTCTACTTGCATGCTTCTCTACTTGCATGCTTCTCTACTTGCATGCTTCTCTACTTGCATGCTTCTCTACTTGCATGCTTCTCTACTTGCATGCTTCTCTACTTGCATGCTTCTCTACTTGCATGCTTCTCTACTTGCATGCTTCTCTACTTGCATGCTTCTCTACTTGCATGCTTCTCTACTTGCATGCTTCTCTACTTGCATGCTTCTCTACTTGCATGCTTCTCTACTTGCATGCTTCTCTACTTGCATGCTTCTCTACTTGCATGCTTCTCTACTTGCATGCTTCTCTACTTGCATGCTTCTCTACTTGCATGCTTCTCTACTTGCATGCTTCTCTACTTGCATGCTTCTCTACTTGCATGCTTCTCTACTTGCATGCTTCTCTACTTGCATGCTTCTCTACTTGCATGCTTCTCTACTTGCATGCTTCTCTACTTGCATGCTTCTCTACTTGCATGCTTCTCTACTTGCATGCTTCTCTACTTGCATGCTTCTCTACTTGCATGCTTCTCTACTTGCATGCTTCTCTACTTGCATGCTTCTCTACTTGCATGCTTCTCTACTTGCATGCTTCTCTACTTGCATGCTTCTCTACTTGCATGCTTCTCTACTTGCATGCTTCTCTACTTGCATGCTTCTCTACTTGCATGCTTCTCTACTTGCATGCTTCTCTACTTGCATGCTTCTCTACTTGCATGCTTCTCTACTTGCATGCTTCTCTACTTGCATGCTTCTCTACTTGCATGCTTCTCTACTTGCATGCTTCTCTACTTGCATGCTTCTCTACTTGCATGCTTCTCTACTTGCATGCTTCTCTACTTGCATGCTTCTCTACTTGCATGCTTCTCTACTTGCATGCTTCTCTACTTGCATGCTTCTCTACTTGCATGCTTCTCTACTTGCATGCTTCTCTACTTGCATGCTTCTCTACTTGCATGCTTCTCTACTTGCATGCTTCTCTACTTGCATGCTTCTCTACTTGCATGCTTCTCTACTTGCATGCTTCTCTACTTGCATGCTTCTCTACTTGCATGCTTCTCTACTTGCATGCTTCTCTACTTGCATGCTTCTCTACTTGCATGCTTCTCTACTTGCATGCTTCTCTACTTGCATGCTTCTCTACTTGCATGCTTCTCTACTTGCATGCTTCTCTACTTGCATGCTTCTCTACTTGCATGCTTCTCTACTTGCATGCTTCTCTACTTGCATGCTTCTCTACTTGCATGCTTCTCTACTTGCATGCTTCTCTACTTGCATGCTTCTCTACTTGCATGCTTCTCTACTTGCATGCTTCTCTACTTGCATGCTTCTCTACTTGCATGCTTCTCTACTTGCATGCTTCTCTACTTGCATGCTTCTCTACTTGCATGCTTCTCTACTTGCATGCTTCTCTACTTGCATGCTTCTCTACTTGCATGCTTCTCTACTTGCATGCTTCTCTACTTGCATGCTTCTCTACTTGCATGCTTCTCTACTTGCATGCTTCTCTACTTGCATGCTTCTCTACTTGCATGCTTCTCTACTTGCATGCTTCTCTACTTGCATGCTTCTCTACTTGCATGCTTCTCTACTTGCATGCTTCTCTACTTGCATGCTTCTCTACTTGCATGCTTCTCTACTTGCATGCTTCTCTACTTGCATGCTTCTCTACTTGCATGCTTCTCTACTTGCATGCTTCTCTACTTGCATGCTTCTCTACTTGCATGCTTCTCTACTTGCATGCTTCTCTACTTGCATGCTTCTCTACTTGCATGCTTCTCTACTTGCATGCTTCTCTACTTGCATGCTTCTCTACTTGCATGCTTCTCTACTTGCATGCTTCTCTACTTGCATGCTTCTCTACTTGCATGCTTCTCTACTTGCATGCTTCTCTACTTGCATGCTTCTCTACTTGCATGCTTCTCTACTTGCATGCTTCTCTACTTGCATGCTTCTCTACTTGCATGCTTCTCTACTTGCATGCTTCTCTACTTGCATGCTTCTCTACTTGCATGCTTCTCTACTTGCATGCTTCTCTACTTGCATGCTTCTCTACTTGCATGCTTCTCTACTTGCATGCTTCTCTACTTGCATGCTTCTCTACTTGCATGCTTCTCTACTTGCATGCTTCTCTACTTGCATGCTTCTCTACTTGCATGCTTCTCTACTTGCATGCTTCTCTACTTGCATGCTTCTCTACTTGCATGCTTCTCTACTTGCATGCTTCTCTACTTGCATGCTTCTCTACTTGCATGCTTCTCTACTTGCATGCTTCTCTACTTGCATGCTTCTCTACTTGCATGCTTCTCTACTTGCATGCTTCTCTACTTGCATGCTTCTCTACTTGCATGCTTCTCTACTTGCATGCTTCTCTACTTGCATGCTTCTCTACTTGCATGCTTCTCTACTTGCATGCTTCTCTACTTGCATGCTTCTCTACTTGCATGCTTCTCTACTTGCATGCTTCTCTACTTGCATGCTTCTCTACTTGCATGCTTCTCTACTTGCATGCTTCTCTACTTGCATGCTTCTCTACTTGCATGCTTCTCTACTTGCATGCTTCTCTACTTGCATGCTTCTCTACTTGCATGCTTCTCTACTTGCATGCTTCTCTACTTGCATGCTTCTCTACTTGCATGCTTCTCTACTTGCATGCTTCTCTACTTGCATGCTTCTCTACTTGCATGCTTCTCTACTTGCATGCTTCTCTACTTGCATGCTTCTCTACTTGCATGCTTCTCTACTTGCATGCTTCTCTACTTGCATGCTTCTCTACTTGCATGCTTCTCTACTTGCATGCTTCTCTACTTGCATGCTTCTCTACTTGCATGCTTCTCTACTTGCATGCTTCTCTACTTGCATGCTTCTCTACTTGCATGCTTCTCTACTTGCATGCTTCTCTACTTGCATGCTTCTCTACTTGCATGCTTCTCTACTTGCATGCTTCTCTACTTGCATGCTTCTCTACTTGCATGCTTCTCTACTTGCATGCTTCTCTACTTGCATGCTTCTCTACTTGCATGCTTCTCTACTTGCATGCTTCTCTACTTGCATGCTTCTCTACTTGCATGCTTCTCTACTTGCATGCTTCTCTACTTGCATGCTTCTCTACTTGCATGCTTCTCTACTTGCATGCTTCTCACTCCAAACCGCATGCAGCAGTCCAACTGCATGTCTTTCTTTGCCCAAACTGCATGTGCCATGACATGCAGCTAATAACAAAGCTGGATATCATAACCCTAACCTTTTTAGCACATGCTATCTGTCACTCTCTCTCTCTCACTGCCAGCACACAGCCCATGAATGCTTCTCGAAACAATACCTGCTGCCACGTTGCCACGTAACACACCAACCAGCCTGCCACGTGGCACACTGACTAGCCTGCCACGTGGCACACTGACCAGCCTGCCACGTGGCACACCAATCCACCCACCACGTGATCCATCTTGGCGGATTCTCGCTGGAAATCTGCGGCCATGCGCGCTGCTGATGCCACGTCCATTTGCTGCCAGGGGGGGGGGGGGGAGAGGGAAAGGGGTAAGGGAAGAGGGGGGAGAGGGAAAGTGGTGAGGGAAGAGGGTGGGGGGTGTGGAGAAGAAGAAGTGCTGATGTCACATCCATTTGCTGCTAGGGTGGGGTTGGTGGCGGTTGGGAGAGTAAGTGTATGGCGCATGCACCACATTCCGTGAGATTGCACCAGAAGATTGCACAGGGCTGCTTCAATCACGCTACACATTTTCCTGTCTTACTTGTTATTCCTCTGTTATAACACCGTCATATACAGTCACCATGACCTCTCTCACCTTTGTCACATGTTTCTTAAACTGCACATTGATTCTTTCGTCACAAATGTTCTTGTTTGTTATAGTACCGTCCTCTACAGTCAATCTTCTCACATTATTCACATTCCCCAAGACCATGTCGTAACTGCGCCTTGATATATGAGCTGAATGTATTCATTATAGTACCATTCACTACAGTCACTCTTCTCTCACCTTGTTCACATTTCCCATGACCGTGCCGGCACTGCGCATTGCCCCTGCCACTGACACATTGGCTTGAGCCACCTGGGAACAGGAAAGGTGGGGAGAGGGGAGGGAGAGAGAGAGATGGGAGGGATAGAGGGAGACAGGGGAAGGGAGCGACAGGGGAAGGAAAGGAACCTTGAGGGTACAGCGCTGAGGCACTGCGCATTGCCCCTGCCACTGACACATTGGCTTGGGAAAGCTGAGAAGAAGGGAGGGAGGAAGAGAGGGAGGAAAAGAGGGAGGAAGAGAGAGGAGGAAGAGAGGGAGGAAGAGAGGGAGGAAGAGAGGGAGGAAGAGAGGGAGGAAGAGAGGGAGGAAGAGAGGGAGGAAGAGAGGGAGGAAGAGAGGGAGGAAGAGAGGGAGGAAGAGAGGGAGGAAGAGAGGGAGGAAGAGAGGGAGGAAGAGAGGGAGGAAGAGAGGGAGGAAGAGAGGGAGAAGAGAGGAGGAAGAGAGGGAGGAGAGAGGGAGGAAGAGAGGAGGAAGAGAGAGGGAGGAAGAGAGGGAGGAAGAGAGGGAGGAAGAGAGGGAGGGAAAGGAAGATGGAGAAAATAAGAAATATAGCCAACCAAACAGGAAAGTGATTCACACAATAAGAACACTTGAACAAAAGATATTAAATCACACGAACAAGAGATAGACTCACACAAACAATATAGTACAGCACACGAACACGAGAATAAATCACACAAACAAGAGTTTAAAGCCGTCGGCCCAGATTGTTCATGTTTTAAAAGCATGACGGGGAGGGAGTTCTTCCAGTTGGGTTGTGGCGAGAGTTTCCGATTTCTGTGTTTTGTTTTGTTTTGTTTTGTTTTTTTTTTTTTTTTTTTTTTTTTTTTTTTTTTTTTTTTTTTTTTTTTGTCAAACCTAACCAGCCCTCGTTTTTCTCCTGGTGGTTCCAATTGCTGCTTGATAGTCCCAAATTTCTGGGTTCTTTTTTCAAGTTTGCAAAGTCAACGCAATCAAGATTAAAAAACTTGACCCGCGCGGTCCGCAATTTGGGCCGCGGGCTTTAAATCACAATAACAAAAGATCAAACCACCCAAACAAGAGAACTCATCAAGTATTTCCCTCACCTGCGCGTGCGTGCTGATGCCGCGAATCTGCGCCTTGGACTTGTGCAGCTTGGCTATCTGCGCTCTCACCCGCACCAGCTCCCGTGCCAACACGCGCGCTGCTGCCTGGTAGGCGGGAGATGCATGTGCATGTGCAGAAGCACATGGGGAAGAATACCAGTCATTCCTCACTCATTCCTTCTCTCTCTATCTGCTCTCTCACCCGCACCAGCTCCCGTGTTTCCAACACCCGCGCTGCTGCCTGAAATTCAGGAAACGCATGCATGGGAGCAAGGCAGGAAACGCATGCATGGGAGCAAGGCAGGAAACGCATGCATGGGAGCAAGGCAGGAAACGCATGCATGGGAGCAAGGCAGGAAACGCATGCATGGGAGCAAGGCAGGACACGCATGCATGGGAGCAAGGCAGGACATGGGAGCAAGGCAGGACATGGGAGCAAGGCAGGACATGAGATGAGAGAGATACCATGGCAACGCATGCCTCTCTTCTTGCGCTTCATTTCCCTCTCACCCACTCATCCCTCTCACCCACTCATCCCTCTCACCCACTCATGCCTCTCACCCACTCATAATCGCATGATGGAAAAAGCGAAACAGCATGCACTAGTGATGGCAGCATCCCTGCATGTCACTCCCACCTGGTTACCACTCCCACCTGGTTACCACCCCCACCTGGTTACCACTCCCACCTGGTTACCCGTCTTGGCAGTCTTCTTGATCTCCACTAGCAGCTTCTTCTCCTGCCGCCCACATGCCATCCACATGCCATCCACATGCCATCCACATGCCAAACAACCACATGCCAACAACATGCCAACCACATGCCAACCACATGCCAACCACATGCCAACCACATGCCAACCACATGCCATCCACATGCCAACAACATGCCATCCACATGCCATGATATGCCCACAGATGTCATTTGATGCCACCCACATGCCATCCACATGCCATCCACATGCCAACCACATGCCAACCACATGCCAACCACATGCCAACCACATGCCAACCACATGCCAACCACATGCCACGGCCAAAGGAACTGTCACCAAGTTAAGCAAACGTGATGCATGGAACCAACATGTAGCACACGAGGAGCATGTGGGAACACCACTTGCCGCCCGCTAACCCCACCTGCCGCCCGTCAATCTCACCTGCCACCCACTATTCCCACCTGCCGCCCACTATTCCCACCTGCCACCCACTATTCCCACCCACTATTCCCACCTGCCGCCCACTATTCCCACCTGCCACCCACTATTCCCACCTGCCACCCACTATTCCCACCTGCCACCCACTATTCCCACCTGCCACCCACTATTCCCACCTGCCACCCACTATTCCCACCTGCCACCCACTATTCCCACCTGCCGCCCACTATTCCCACCTGCCGCCCACAATTCCCACCTGCCACCCACAATCTCCACCTGCCACCCACAATTCTCACCTGCCACCCACAATTCCCACCTGCCACCCACAATTCCCACCTGCCACCCACTATTCCCACCTGCCGCCCACTATTCCCACCTGCCACCCACTATTCCCACCTGCCGCCCACTATTCCCACCTGCCGCCCACTATTCCCACCTGCCGCCCACTATTCCCACCTGCCGCCCACTATTCCCACCTGCCACCCACTATTCCCACCTGCCACCCACTATTCCCACCTGCCACCCACTATTCCCACCTGCCACCCACTATTCCCACCTGCCACCCACTATTCCCACCTACCACCCACTATTCCCACCTGCCACCCACTATTCCCACCTGCCACCCACTATTCCCACCTGCCACCCACTATTCCCACCTGCCACCCACTATTCCCACCTGCCACCCACTATTCCCACCTGCCGCCCACAAGTCCCACCTCTGCCTGCAGATTAGCCACCTCCCTTTCCAACCCTGCTTGTGGTGAGAGAGATGGGGGAGATGGGGGAGATGGGGGAGATGGGGGACCTAAGTTGCCAAATACGCTTATAGCGTATTTACGCTAATCGTATATACGCTAGCGTTTTCACGCTATCCGCTTAGGGGGTCGTTTAGGGGATACGCTATTTCGGGCAGGTAAAAAAATTTCCGGGCAGGGGTGAAAAAATCCCAGGGATGTTTGGGGGGGGGGGGGGGGGGGGGGGGGGGGGAAATGTTGGGGGTTTTGCAAGCGTGGTTTTTTCTTTCGGCATAATATCATTCCGACACCAAACAACCATGCTACAAGTATGCTTTCGTACCACCTAGACTAGACTAAGACATGAGAACCTAAACCAGCCTCCCCGCAACATTCCACATGCCCCCCCGCACCTTAAACCTTGTTCTAGTCATACTCGTCTTCCAGCACGTCATCCTCGCCCTCCTCCTCCACCTCCGTCTCATCCAACCCCTTGTACCCCTCGGGGATAGGAGGCTCGTCCCCAATCCCTGGCACAAATACATCTGCCCGCGAGTGCCAGTTGCGCACAACATTCCAGTTGTGCGCAACAAAAACCAGGTCCTGACACTTTGCAGATCCGAGGCGGTTCCGGCGGGCTGTGTGAACTCCATCCCAAGTTCCCCACCCACGCTCACAAGGGGATGCCGATACAGGCTGAGAGAGCACCCTCACGGCGAGAGACATCAGGTGAGGTGCATCCGTGCCGTTCCACTGCCACCACTTCACCATGCTGTGTTTACCTGCCTTCACCTTCTCCCTTTGTGCAAGCGCCTCCGGCATCCGGAAACTTCCTTTCAGGTCCAAGAAAGCCCTCAGCCCGTCACCCAAGGCAAGCAAGTGATCGGGACCCGCATTCCTCCCCTTCCCGTCGTGGCCGATGAGGAACTCCACATGCTGGTTGATAAATGCCTTGAAAACCCGGGTGCATTCGGCGTCGCTGCCGAAGATGTCCTCCTCCTGGTTGGCGGGGTTGAGGATTCGGCCAGCAACGTGCATGGCGCAGGCGAGGTTGTTATCTCAACGGTTTTTTATGATGCGACGGATCTGCACCTTGTCCGTGCTACTCAGCTGCTCCTCATCCTCGTCCAAGAGGTTGTTGGCATCCTCTGTAAGCTGCAGCATAACATCGTAAAGTCGCCCCATCATCCCCTTGGCATCTGCGTCCGCCTGCCGCATCGCCTTGTAGGGCAGTTGCATCAGCTTGCATAAGAATTCAGCCGTCCGCCACCATGCGGCATGGAGGACCCGCCCAGCAAAGATCTCGGCAGCTTCCTTCCGCAACCCCACGGCCCACTCCTTCCAACTTTCGGAAAGCACCTCCCGTTCAGGGTGCTACGCAGCTCACAAAGGCGGGACACAGCAATGTACTGTGTCCCGAAACGTGTTCCGGCCGGCTTCAACGGCTGCAGCACCTTCCCCGCCACCAACTCCGGGGTCCTCAGGTAAGCACGCGTCCAATGATGGTTGCGCACGAATGAAATCATCTCCCCAGTCCGATCCACCACCCCTCTTGCCCACCCCATCTTTCCCACGTCCTCCAGAAGGAGATCCAATACATGGGTGGCACAAGGGACCTGCTGAATGTGGGGCCACTTGGCAATCAGCTCCTGGACAGCCACGGCATAGTTCGATCCCCCATCCATACAAAACGCGACGACATTTTCTGGTCCTACCTCCTCCACCACCGGCTGCAAAATCCCCGCTATGTATCCCCCCGTCTTACGCTCCATACCGCAGTCGATCGCCTCCTTGAAGACGGCGCCGGAGTCGTTGATGCGAAGGACGTTCGCTTGCGCCCTCCCACATTTGTCCGTCATCATGTCGGATGCAATTGTTACCCCCGTCTTCTCTCAGCTCGTTTTAATCCCCGTCAGCCCCTGCTCAATCCCTTTGCGGACAGCGACCAGTCCAGGCCCGCCAATGAAGCTCCTCTTGGGGGGGACGTAGCCGGGGCCGGCGCGGTTGACGAGCAGCATGGCGTTGATGAACAGCGGGTGGTTTATGGTGATCTCCGGGATTCTGCATGCCGCAAACATCAGCGCAAGGGCCTCGTGAGCATCCCGCTTAGCCGCAGCAGCATCTCCCTCCAAGTAGTCGGTTATGCGCCGCTTCCCACCGCCAGCCTGGACCGCCGCAACCGCAGCAGATGTTGCTCGGCGCTTTTCCTCGATCGCGGCAGCCAGCGCCTCGTATCTGGTGCGCATCTCGTTGCGTACGTCTTGCGGTGCCTCCTTGCAAAGCGACACCTCGCGACGCTTCATTCCCTTCCATGAGCTCAGGTGCTGCGCGCAACGAATGGCTGCACTGGTGAAAACATTGAAGCAGTACATACACTCGTACTGCTGTGCTTTGCCTTCCACCGGCACAATGATGCTGAAATGTTTGAAGACAGCGTGGTCCCTGTCGGGAAGGTATTCCCTACCCTCAGGTCGAACCATCGGGGAACTCTGCCCCGTCTGAACGGATGACGATGTGCATGGCGGGCTAGACATAACGAAAGAGACGGGAAACTGATGAATTGCGAAGTTGCTTGCAACCCACTAAATAACACAACGAGAGAAGGGAACATTGGGACAAGTGGTTGGAGTGAGTAGACGGGTGGGGATTGAGTGCGGTAACAAACAGAGCGCACAATGTGTGAACGTGAAAATGCGGCTTGTAAAATTGACACAACCAATCGCGACTACGTGGGTTGAACCCACGTCCACGATTGGAAAAGTCACCTACGTGCAATTCGCCTTCGGCAAAATGCATGTCGTGAAATTCCGCATCTTTCCGTATTTTCTGATTTTTTTCTGCCCGGGCTGCCCCAAAATTTTTTTGGCGAGCGTATAGGGGATTCGCTTGCGTATAGCGTTTTGCGTGTAAAGACAAGCGGATATCCGCTAAACGCAAACAGGTCTGAGCGTTTTTGGCAACTTAGTGGGGGGGGGACATGGGGGACATGGGGGACATGGGGGAGATGGGGGAGATGGGGGAGATGGGGGAGATGGGGGAGATGGGGGAGATGGGGAGATGGGGGAGATGGGGGAGATGGGGGACATGGGGGACATGGGGGACATGGGGGACATGGGGGAGATGGGGGAGATGGGGGAGATGGGGGAGATGGGGGAGATGGGGGAGATGGGGGAGATGGGGAGATGGGGGAGATGGGGGAGATGGGGGAGATGGGGGAGATGGGGGAGATGGGGAGATGGGGGAGATGGGGGAGATGGGGGAGATGGGGGAGATGGGGGAGATGGGGGAGATGGGGGAGATGGGGGGAGATGGGGGAGATGGGGGAGATGGGGGAGATGGGGGAGATGGGGGAGATGGGGGAGATGGGGGATGGGGGAGCTGGCATGAGAACCCGGTTCTGCAGCAGTGTGGATTCTGCAGTCACTCAAATCCGCTTCTGCTTGAAAACTGCGCACCCCCATCCATTACCCCCTCAATACCCCCCATCCCTGGTAACCGGCACGCCCCCATTGCGACTATTCGCATCCCATTTCAGTTTGGCACACCCCTCCCCATCCTCCCCTCTCCCCTCCCAACCTCTCCCCCCCCCCTTCCCTTCCCCCTTCTCCCCTCCCCTCCCTCTGCAACCCCCCTTGCAATCCCCCCCCCTCCTCTCCCCCTCCCCTTCCCTTCCCCCGGTTCCCCCCCTTCCCCATCCCCCCAGCCTCCTCCCTTTCCTGGCCCTTTCCCCCCCCCCCCTCGCCTGCCCTCCTCTCCCCCCCTTTTTCCCCCAGCTTCCCCCAGCTTCCCCCAGCCCCCCAGCCTCCATCCCCCCCGGCCTTACCCCCTCCCGGCGCACCTCAGGAGGTCCATCCCTAGCCTTCACCGCAACCCCCCCCCCCAACCATCCCCCCTAGCCTTCACCGCAACCCCCCCCCAACCATCCCCCCTAGCCTTCACCGCAACCCCCCCCCCCAACCATCCCCCCTAGCCTTCACCGCAACCCCCCCCCAACCATCCCCCCTAGCCTTCACCGCAACCCCCCCCCAACCATCCCCCCTAGCCTTCACCGCAACCCCCCCCCAACCATCCCCCCTAGCCTTCACCGCAACCCCCCCCCCAACCATCCCCCCTAGCCTTCACCGCAACCCCCCCCCCAACCATCCCCCCTAGCCTTCACCGCAACCCCCCCCCCAACCATCCCCCCTAGCCTTCACCGCAACCCCCCCCCAACCATCCCCCCTAGCCTTCACCGCAACCCCCCCCCCAACCATCCCCCCTAGCCTTCACCGCCCCCCCCCCCAACCATCCCCCCTAGCCTTCACCGCAACCCCCCCCCAACCATCCCCCCTTCCTTTTCCACCCACCCACCCACCCACCCACCCACCCACCCACCCCGTATTCCTTGACCCCCCAATCCCCCCCTCCCTCCCAGGTCGCTCCCAGCGCACCTATGGCAGCCTGCGTCACGCCCCTTGTCGTGATTCCAACCCATTCCCTCACTCCCTTCTCTTCCGGTGCCTTCACTCCCCGCACTTGTCCGGTGCCCAAGGCTTCTTCTCCCTCTTCCTTTTCTCACCGTCACTCCCTCCCCACACTTGTCGACCTCTCCCGTCCCTCTTACTGTCCCTTCTTGCTGGCCACAGGAGCTTCTACCTGCCCCTTCTTCCTCCTGGAGTATGTGATCAACCTGTCCCTTCCTTCTCCTCGTATGTCAGGCTGCCCGAGGATTAAGACTTGTTTCATACAAGCAAAAAGCGAGTGAATCAGAATCCTCCCTAGCAATTCTACCCTGCTCTCCCTCCTGCCTATCCTCTGCCTTGTGGCTGTGAGCCTCCGAGCTCTCTGAGCTAGTCGCGAGGAATTCCAGGAGCTAGCTGGCTCGAGCTGGGACCCACTGGGCATGCACCGCCATCCAGGCTGGTTGGCGGTGAATTCAATTGCCTGAGCTCGCCCTCCACCTGCCAAACTCCTCCTCCTCGACTTCTCCCTTACCAACTCGCCTCCCAAATTACAGATAAGAGTATAGTACAGTAAACTGCGTGAAAGCAAGAAAGCAAAGAAAGAAAGTAACAAAGGTAAACAACATTATCCCACTTACCCTAGCTGCTGTGTTAAGTGCGTCTGACCCACCGGTTAGCCGCACTCAGCGCGACACCCTCTGCAATCCTCCCCCCAACCCATACTCTTTCCCCCGTTTCCCCCATTTCTCTTTCCCCCCCATCCCCTCTCCCCATCGTACCCAGCGCACCTATGGCAGCCTGCGCCACGTCCCTCTTGCCTCCCCCCTTTCCCCGTTCCCCCTTTTTCCCCCCTTTCCTCCTTTTCCCCATTTCCCCCTTTTCCCCCTTTTCCCCCTTCCCCGTTTCCTCGTTTTCCCCTTCCCCCCCCGTCGCACCTCTGGCGGCCTGTGCCACGTCCCTCTTGCCTTGGCGCAGCACCTCTGCCCGCGCAAGGCGGGGGAAAGGGCAGCAGAAGGGTGGGGTGGAACGGGGAAAAGAAAGGGGGGGAGGGGAAAAGGGGTGCGGAGGGGGAAGACGGAGAACAAGGAAGGGCGGAATGAGGGAAACGGGGAGAAGAAAGTGGGGAAAGTATGAAGGCGGGGGGAAAAGTGAGGAAGGTGCGAACGCGGCAGGAATGCGGGAACAGCAAGAGGCGAGCTAAGGAATGAAACGAGAGTGAGGAGAGGGGAGAGGGGGGGGGAGGGGGAGGGTTGGGAGGAGGGAGGGAAGAGTGGGGAGGGTGGTCGCGGGAGGAAGTGGCAGCGGGAGGGAGAAGGTTCGAACGCAGCGGGGATCGCGAAACAGCAAGAGACGCGCCGACGGAACGAAACAACACGGCTACGCGGCGAACTTAGAACATTCTCAGCAGGTACGGCTACGCGGCGCGGCGACAGCGAGCGGCGCGAGAGGCTACTCGCGGCACGAGCGAGGCGCGAGCTGCTAAGGGAGTGTTGCCGTCGAGAAACCATCACGGACTCCTCTCTCGCGCGTCGCACCTTGCGGCTCATCTCTCGCGCGTCGCACCTTGCGTCGCACCTTGCGGCTCATCTCTCGCGCGTCACACATTTCGGCTTATCTCTCGCGCGTCGCACCTTTCGGCTCATCTCTCGCGCGTCGCACCTTGCGGCGTGGGCTTCTTTTGAAACATGGCGCGCGGTGTTTGCGCGCGTGGCGTATGCGCGTGGTGCGCAGTGCGCGTGCGAGGAGGTGGTGTGGATGCGAGGAGCGCGCGAAACGCGAGGATTTATCGTGAAGCGTGCGGTATGCGGCGTTGATGACGCGCGCTATGTGGGAGGCTCAAGAGTTGCAGCAGACGAGCTGGCTGGATTCGCGGCCAACGTTTTCGCACCGGAGATTGACTAGGCAAGCGGCCGTTTGTACTCACTATTGCACATAGCACTTTAGCACATTGTAGATGACTGCATACATTCTGTTCCTTCTTACAACAATTTTTGGTGGATGGATTTGTTATGAATGTAATGCATCTGCCGTCTTAACAGATTTGGAGGAAAGGGTGCTAAATAGGGAGACCCTCCCTGTAGAGGTCTATGGGGGCGGAAATTCATCTGGAGCCTGAAGTTCCGAGGTCGTTCAAAGTGGACCAGGAGGAGCCATCATGTCACGTTAGGGACTCCTCCTTATTGTAGATGTGTCGCAGAACCTTTGCCTCGTTGTCCGTCGGGTGGTTCCATCTTTTGATTTCCTTCCAATGGGTGTCCTTTGTTGGGCTGAGAAAAGCCCTTAGGATCTTTTACAGGACTAAACTCTTGGTAGGAATGATATAATAGCATAAACGTTTAATGAAGATTGTTGAACCACCTTGCGCTGGTATGTGAGGGCAAAGTAGATTTGATTAAAGCAAGGAGATACAGGGCCTTTTATAAGAGTACAGAGAATACAGGGAGATATGACTAATAACCGTTTTACTGTTGCTGTTGCGGTTCGATATAGTGACGACTCGGGCAGCTGTTCAATAACGAATCAGCTGTTTGTCCTTGCTGTCGCACTGTACTTTGTCGAGTCAAAGGTCGCGTGACCTTTGACCTTCGCGTAACCTCCAGCGGTTACCATTTCTTGTCAACCTCCGATGGTTGACTCGCCGTTGCTGCGCTGTTGCTTGCTCCGTTTGTGTTTATTGTTTCGACACGACAGAGGCGCTTAAATCATTTGTTTCCAACACTCCCCTTCGCTTCTGGAGTGTCGCTGCTGGTGACGTGGCTCTGTCCAGTCAGCAGCATGCAGTACTCGAACTTCTGCTTTCCGAGCTTCTTGGTCAAGTAATCGGCTGCCATCTCGGACGTGGGGCAGTATGACAGCTCGAGTCTCCCCTTCTCGATCTCGTCCTTCACGAAGAAATATCGCAAGGCGATGTGTTTCGTTCGGTTCGCGAATCCGCTCTTGTTTGCTATGCGGATCGCCGACTGATTGTCGCAGAACAGGGAGAAGCTGGGTAACTGAGCTACCTTTGCTTCTTCCAGTAATTCGCGAAGGTACAATCCTTCCTTGGTGGCTGAGCAGAGTGCGATGTATTCTGCTTCAGCTGAGGAGAGGGCGATTAGTTCCTGCTTACTCGACTGCCAGGAGATGGGCTCGATAGGCTCGAAGCGGTAGATGTAGCCTGTGCGCGAGCGCCTGTTGTCAGGATCTCCGGCGTGATCGGCGTCGACGTAGCCGATTAACTTAGGCGTTGTAGTTCCGTTCTTGTGGTAGGTCAGGCCGATCGTCGGGGTGCTGACGAGGTAGTGAACAGCGCGGTCGAGCTCTGCCATGTGTTTTGCTTTGGATTTCTTGAGGTAGGTGGCGAGCTGATTTGCGGAGTAGGATAGATCCGGACGGCAGGTGACAGCTGCGAAGAGGAGGCAGCCCAGCTTTCTCTGGTAGTCGCATATGCCGGCGGGCCTTAGCGGAGCAGATCCTTCCTTGTGATTTCCTGCCGTGTAGCGGTATGGTGTGGAGATGATAGTCGGCATGAGTGCGAAGCGTTTAGCGATGGTTTCGGCGTATTTCCCGGCGCTAAGGTAGATCGCGTTCTCTTCTTCCTGGATGTTGAGGCCGAGGTATTGCGTAACGGTGGACGAAACCGTAAGCGTGAGATTCTTCTGCAGCTCTCCTTCGAACCAGGTAGTGACGTCGTCGGTCGAGCCGATGTAGAGTAGATCATCTACGTAGACGATCAACAGGATGTAGTCGGCACCCTTTGTGAGCCGGTACATGCCTTGGTCGTGAGGTAGCTGACGGAATCCGATGCGATTGTGTCGAGCGTGCAGGTACTGCTGCCACAGTCTCGGGGCCTGTTTGATGCCGTACAATGATTTCAGTAGTTGACAGACGTGATTGGGTTCTCCGTTGGACCCGTGTGGTAGTTCGACGAAGATCTCTGCGTCGACAGGTGCGTAGAGGAATGCGTTGGCGACGTCAATTTGTCGCAGTTTCTTCTTCTTCATGGCGGCGATAGCGAGGAGAATTCGCAGCGAGGTGTGTCGGCTGACCGGGGCGAATGTCTCGGTGAAGTCGCGTCCGTGCTCTTGGTCGAAGCCGCGTACGACCCAGCGCGCCTTAAACTTGTCGATGGTGCCGTCTGCCTTAGTTTTCACACGGAAGACCCATTTTCCGGTGATAATTGTTTTGTTTTGTGCCACACCGATAGGAACAATTTTCCAGGTGTTGCGTTCCTCCAGTGCTTTCAGCTCCCTGTCCATGGCTTCGCGCCATTTTTCCCTATGCTCCCCCCCCAGAGCCTGCTGAACTGTGGCAGGCTCCTTAGGAATCGCCGTGCCGTGAACCGCGGTGACGAGGCCAAGGATTTGGAGGCCACTCTGTGTGTAGCGGGGGAGTGTTGTATCCTCGGGATAGACTGCTTCATCTCCCGCTTCTGGATCGGGTAAGAAGTTTGGCCCTATGCGTTTCGCTTCGTCGGTGTTGACCCTTGCTGGCATAACGTAACCAGTGTCGGCGAAGTCGTAGTAGACTTCGGCGTTGATGCTGTCGCGAGGGTTTTCGTCGTCCATGGGAACATCGACCGAACAGTAAGGTAGAGGTCCGGCTGCTTCCGAGGCTCCGTCCACGTTCTGCTCGTCCAAGTCAGCTTCGTCTGCTGCTGAGGCGAAGGCTCGGTCACCACGGAAACCGCCTGTGGGGTCTCAGTTTTCTTCCAGGTTGGCAAGGTACGTCGGGAGTGTGAGTCGTTCGAAGAAAATGACGTCACGTGCTGCTACTGTTTCTTTTGAGTGGATGTCGAAAATCTTCCACGCGTTGTAATTCTTTTCGATGCCTAGGTGTAGCCCTCACTGAGCGCGTTGGGAGAATCGGCCAGCTCGTGCAGCTGGGGGTTGATACTGTACCATGCAGCCAAAAACCCGTAACATTTTTGTGCTGCCTGTTTTCCTGTCCATAGCAGATGTGGTGATGCGTTGTTCGGAAGTGACGATGAAGAGAGCAGGTTGTGCAGCATGACAGCGTGGTCCATCGCCTCAGGCCACTGGTGGGTGGGTAGCCGCATGCCACGTAGCAGTTTGCGCATGGTGTTCTGCAGAGTCCTGTTCATCCTTTCTGCTACGCCTTGCTGTTGGTGGGCGTAAGGAAGGGAGATGATGTCAGAATGAACAGGCAGGAATGAGGAACTAGAAAGGATGGTGAGTACAAATATGAAACCCTAATGTTGTGACCCCCCTATAGGCTAACCCACTACAGCCTACACAAGCACAACATATATAATGTTTGACACACCCCCATAGGCAAAGTGGGGGAGACCTAGGGGTCACAAGACCAGTCAAAGCAAAGCAAAGCAAAGCAAAACAGGCTCAGGGTGGATCTCAAGGATACCACACAAATTCCGAGCACAAGCTAGTGGTCACAAGACCAGTTCACATGCAAGTTTATAACAGAGCATGAGATACAGTGATCACAACCTAGCAACAGTAAACATGCAGGTAGATATATATATATAGTGATCACAGTACAAGCAAGGTCAAGAGGTAAGTAAGTGAGGTCCAGTAGGCACAAGGCCTAGTAGAGTGCAGAAGCGCTGATGGTCACGAGGCTGAAGCGCCTTGGTGAACACATCAGCAGTGTTGGCCTCAGTGGCCACGTAGCGAATACAAAGCTGACCGCGCTGCTGCAGCTCTCGAGCAAGGAAGTACCGCAGGGCGATGTGCTTCGTTCTGTGCTCCAGTCTGTGCTCCTCACACAAGGCAATGGCAGCCTTGTTGTCGACGTACAGTACTGGAGGAGAACGAGGCCGCTCTCCGAGGTCGGTCAGCAGGTAGGTCAGCCAGCGTAGCTCCTGGGCAGCCATGGCTGTAGCGTAGATCTCAGCCTCGCAACTGGAGCCGAGAACAGAAGAAGAGCGTGTAGAGCGCCAAGAAACTGAGCCAGAGCCAAGGCTGAAGGTGTAACCCTGAGACGACCGCTGAGTGGCCTGGTCGTCTGCCCAAGAAGCGTC